CTCTCCAAGCTGAAACTGTTCTTAAAAGCTTTCCAATTCACTCAGAATATGTCATTAATATTCAAATTAAACTACTTACCTTCATCCTTCTCATGGAACTATATCCTCTTACCACTCAAATTACGAAAATTTTGTACAAATATCCTCTCAATTTAAACCTTTAACAAACTTTTACAACTTAAACATTTCATAATCTACTACCTTTTAATATTCCCCAACTTACCAATATTATAAATTCACAAAATAATAATCTAAAACTATACTCTTTCAGAAACAAAATTATTTTAAACAACCTACTAACAATGGCAAATCTGAATATCCAAAATCCAAACCTATATTTTACACCAAACTGTGCTTTTTGTAATCAATACAAAGATACTAAACACATACTCTCTTGCACACTCCATTCTATTGATCTGAATGATATATTACTTAACCAAATAACAACTTTCTTAAATATATCTAACATAAATAATATCTCTGCTCTATCTATTTTCTGTCTAATTATTCACTATAACAACTCCCCAAATCTAACAAATACTATTTTACTCCTTTTACAAGGCATAATTGTAACAACATGTTACAATCAAACCAACTCTCTACTCAAAAAATCAACTAATAACTTTTTTATTCAACTCTCTACCTCTCTCCTCCTCTAGTTTAATGACAAAATCTGGAACAACAGAAATCAAATCTACTATAAATAGAAAACTGCTCATGGCATCTCTCAAAAAACTAAAAAAAATACTAATCAAATATACCTTCCAAAATCAATACCTACTAAAACAACTACTACAACTTATAATTCTAATATAGATATATATATACAAAAATATTTACTTCAAAACTTTTCTATATTTAACTATTTTTTCTAATTCTTATTCTTAAATTACTTAGAGGTCTTCTTTAACCTTCTCTATAGTTGATAGTAACTTTTGTTTAAATTAACTAGCAAATAGAAAATGAAGGTGTAATATCATATTAGATGTCTAACTATTACAAATAGTCTTAGCAACAACAGTGAAACTTAGAAATTCATATTAGCTTCATATATATACTATCTTGATATATAAATATACTAATCCCTTTCCTAATTGATATTATTAATAAATAAATAATAAAAAAAAAAAAAAAAAAAAAAAAAAGTTTCTAGTCAATAAAGGGTTACTACTAGCCTATATTAAGAATTATTTATTATATTTTAATTTGTAACTATTCCTTCTTTACATCTGTTCTAACCTATTTATCAACTCTACTAAAAGCCTCATTTTGTGTTTTTGTTTCTTTTTTATTTTTTTATTTCTTTTCTATGACTGCAGAAGCTATATTCTCTTTATTTTCTTCCTTTTTTCTTTTTTTCTTTTGTTTATATATTGTTTTCTTTTTTCTATTCTACTATTACTTCATATCAGAACTTCTATAATCATTCATAGAAGCAGGCTTAGAATTGTTCTATAAAGTTTATAAGGACTCTACTTGTCTTGCTCTTCAATTAAGATATTCTGCTCACATCTGCTAGCTGCTTTCTGTTAGTAAACCTTCTGAGATATATCTTTCTAAATTTTAGCTTCTTCTTAGATTCTTTTCTATACAAGGCTTTTTTTAGAAGTACTTTATCAAGCAATAAATCTAGTTTCATTAAAGCTTCTAATTTAATAAGTTATAAGGTTTCTTCTTCTAGATTGTTCCAAATTTTTTGGTATATTTTATATTTAACTAGATGATATATAGTTTCATTCTTTCTGAAACAAGCTATATATCTATAGCTTTTGTATAATTTGAATTTTTTTTAAGATAACAAATATCTTTAGTTGATAAGATACTATTTATATACTTAATACAGAATATAAGTGCTTTGTTTTTTTTGAGATTTATATACTTTTTCTCTTGCAGATTCTTTAGTACTTTCTATATATTTTTCTAATTTAGTTAAGCAACACTATTAGTTTCTAAGTTTAGTACTATGATTGTATATTATACTTATATTTGTTCACTTCTTATTATAGATAATATATTTAATTTTTTTGTTAGTATATTATTATTGTCAAATAAAATAATAATTTATAATTATATAATAAAAGTTAATAATATAATAACTAAAGTTGTATATATAGCTTGTTGTATATTCTTCAAATAATTACAAATAGTAAGGATTATTAATTTATAATTCTATATACAATACTAATAAAATCTTTTTAACAATATAAACTATCTTTAATAACAAAAAAAAATAAAAAAATAAAAGTTAATAATGAAAGTAAAAAAAGTTTATTAATATATAATAAGAAGAAGTAAATAGAGATTATAAAAAATTAGAACTTAAATATTATTCTTTAAAAAAGATTTTTATATTTCTATTCTTTTAAATTATAAAAATAGAAATTTATATAGAAGCAATTACTAGTTAGATATTTAGATAAAGAAAAAAAATTTTATATCAAAAATAATTAATTGATAACAAATATAGAATATATAACTTTGAATATTGTAATTATAGATTAAATAACTTGATATACCTTAAATTCATAAATAAATTTATAAAAAAAATTCATTTAATCTTAATTTATTTAAAAAATTAAAAAAAAGTTTTTTTTAAAGTAAGGTTAATATTTTTTAGTATTTAATACATTTTTTTTATAAATTTTTGCAGAGTATTAAAAATATAACTTTAAGAAGATTTTGATTCAAAGTTGAACTCTTCTTTACTATATTTTTTAAGTCAAAAAATTGATTCTATATTTTATATAATATGATTAGTTAAAATTTTTCTTTAAAAATAAAGAAATTTTTATTAAATAAAAGTTTTTTATACTCTTAAGTAAAGTTGTAAAGCTCTCTTTTCTGGTTTTAATAATAGTAAAATTATTAAGATTAGACTTGTTCTTAGTAAAATATTTATGTTTAAAGATATAATCTTAAAGATTTGCAAAGTGAATATTATACAAAAATTGTAAACTTTTATATAATACTCACTTTGCAGATCTTTAAGATCATGTCTTTAAATATGAATATTTTATTAAGAACAAGTCTAATTTTAATAATTTTACTATCATTAGAATTAGAAAATTTACTTAAGAGTATAGAAAACCTTTACTTAATAAAAATTTTTTTATTTTTTAAAGAAAGATTTTAACCAATCATATTATATAAAATACAGGATCAGTTTTTTAACTTAAAGAATATAGTAAAAAAGAGTTCAACTTTGAATCAAGATCTTCTTAAAGTTATATTTTTAATACTCTGCAAAAATTTATAAAAAAGAAGCATTAAATACTAAAAAATATAAATCTCACTTTAAAAAAAACTTTCTTTTTAATTTTTTAAATAAATTAAGATTAAATGAATTTTTTTCATAAATTTACATATGAAATTGAGGTACATCAAATCATTTGATCTATAATTAAAACATTTTGAACCCCTGTAAGGTTATATGTCCTATGCCTGATAATTAGATGTGAAACAATAAAATATATTAAAGACGAAAAAATTAAGCATTTTTAAACGATAAAATATATGAAAGGCGGAGAAATTAAACATTTAAATAAGTTTGATTTAAAAATAGAAGAAGATAAAATTATTTTGGAAAAGCTAGAAGAAAAAAAATCAAAAGATCAAGATAAAAATAAACAATCGAAATTGAGAGTAAAAATGAGGATTTGTCAAAAAAAGATCATAAGATTGAGTGTAAAAATTAATATTCATCAAAAAAAGACCTTAAGAGATTTGGAATTAAAATTTAGAATTAAAGATGCTACAATCCTTAATTTATTCCGAAAAGGAAAAATGATTAAGATAAGGAGAAAGATCCGAAAAAATATCATTATTAGGAGGCAACATTGGAAATTAAAGTTAATAAAATTTATTTAGTACAGTGAATAGAAATTCAAGATATCGGTAAAAAATTGGATGATAGAAGTTTTAAGAAAGATGTTCAATTATTTCCGAATTTCGAGTAATGGACTGATTCCAATCACTTATGATAGAGACTTTGAAGATAAAGATTGGAACTGGATCTTAGATATAAATAATATTCGCTAAAAAATTTATCTAGAAAGAAACCGGTATTTGTAATCTGAAAATAAACAATAATAAAGCATTAATATCGCATAAAGTGTTAATAGACAGATGTGAGGCGTTAAACAATAGTGGTAAAAAAATAATGAATTTAGATATGGAAGTGAGCTTAAGCGAAAAATGGATATTAGAAAGAGAAAAACAAAGACTTACTTTTGAAGAAAAATCTGAAGACAATCTTATGATAAAATCATTTTTATTGGTAATCAAAAGAGTCAATAATTCAGTGATAAACAGTAATGCAAAGATTAAGGATCGAAGAAGATGGAATATAAATGGAATATAAATTGATTGAAACAGAAGAGAAATAAAGTAGAAATTAAAAATCAAGTTTTTGATGATGAAACTTTGAACATTACAACTTATCGTTGAAATCGGATATAATATTTTCTTAGAATATAAATTTAACCAGAACGTTAAATGTATGTCAATAAATTTAGAAATTTAGAAGAAAATAAGCAACATGAAATAGATGAAATTGAATTAATTTTCGAAGAAAATAAGCAACAAGAAGGAAAATAATTTATTAAATAATAACTGTAGTACTTCATTTTGAATTCTATTAATCAGGGTGTAAAATATCAGATTTCGTAATGTTGAAGTATGGTTTTTTTCTTCCTATGAAAAAGTTAATAATATTATTATTACTATGGTTTTTCATATAATTTTTTAAACGTGATTATGTATTGCTAAAAATGTAACTTCTTTTTGATTTTCAATAGTGCATGTTTTATCAGTTGCATTATAAAACTAGAGGTAGAGAAAAAGATACTTATAATAAGAGCACAATACTGTAATCAGAGGTGGAGAAAAGGTGCTGAAGTGGTTTGAAGAAAAAAATTTTTTTTTTACTATTTTACTTTCACTTAATTAATTATCTCGTAACTAAGGTGATTTGAGGAGCATCATCTGTAATCTGATGCTTAACACAACATATTTTTGTGTTGTGTCAGAATTATCTTTTGTAAATTGTTATATTTTTATTTTATTTTCATTACGAATTAATTCTATATATATATATTTTTTTTATTGATTTTTCCCACCCGAAAGATTGAGGCATGTATCTAGGAACAATAAACATTTATGTTAACGATAGTTCCAATAAACATTACTGAATTAATAATGTGTCTCTCCTTATATTTGCTTTCACAGCATATATAAATCCACCCATTCAAAATGTTTCAAACTGGATAAATTTGCCTAAGTTTCATTAATACTCTCCTATGCCGTAACACCTAATCAGTTGATGAAATTGATCACCTAATATTTAATGATGTTTTAATTAATCAATTGATTATTTTTGATATAAAATTTTTTTTCTTTATCTAAATATCTAACTAGTAATTGCTTCTATATAAATTTCT